CTTTTTTAATCTTTTTGTGGCTGGCAGTGTACGAGTCTGTGTACGAGTCTGTGTGTGTGTGTGTGTGTGTGTGTGTGTGTGTGTGTGTGTGTATATGTCTGCATGTGCTTGTTTGAATATCGAATAAGATGTACTGATATGGATAATATTTCTCTTCTTTCTCTCTTAGACGTCCCTCAGTCTCCTATCTCTCTCCACGACCGCTACAGCTCACCTGCAGCTGGCAGCGCCAAGAGACGCTTGTTTGACGATCCTTCACCACAGTCCCCAGTGAAAAGATTCTCAGTCACTCCCATAAAAATAATTTCCAACACCATGGAAAACAACCAGAACACCACCGCCACAACGACTGTCCTCTCCATGGCAACCGGAAACGGCCAACAGCTCACCATTCCACTGCCAAGTACCACATTTATTATTTATTTATTCTCTTCTTGTTGTGACATTTTTTTTGACAAAAAGACACACAAACATTTCTCTATTTGTTGACGTGCTGGTTCTTCATCCTTCAGTGGTAAAGAACGAGACGGGCGGCATCACAGTCATCCAACTTCAGGCCAATGAGATGAACCCCCTCACCGCTCAATTCTTACTGACGGCCTCTCCCAGCCGAACTGTAGCTCCACCCGCCAGCTCCGACACACAGCCCCCGGCCGTCAACAAACCCCGTCGCACAGGATCCCTCTCTCTCTTCTTCAGGAAGGTGAGGAAATGTGTGCTGATTTCCACCATCTGGACTTTTTTTACATCTGATCTTTGTTAGCTGAAGTGCATATATGCTGTTGCTTGTCCATTTAGGTGTATCATTTAGCCAGCGTGCGTCTGCGGGACCTGTGTCTGAAGCTGGATATCTCATCGGAGCTGCGAGGGAAGATCTGGACGTGTTTTGAACACTCTCTGCTGCACTTCACTGACCTGATGAAGGACAGACACCTGGACCAGCTGCTGCTCTGTGCTGTCTACATTATATCAAAGGTACGCCTTTTGAAATGTGGAGAAGAAGGGCTATGGCAGGGGTGTCAAAACTCAATTCCTGGAGGGCCGGAGCCCCTGTAGAGTTTAGATTCAACCCTAATTAAACACACCTGATCCAACTAATCAAGTCCTTCAGGCTTATTTGAAAACTACATGGTATGTGTGTTGGAACAGGGTTGGAACTAAACTCAGGAATTGAGTTTGACACCCCTGGGCTACAGCAACATTGTTGAAGCAAGTTACAGCAATTGATTAAAACTAATAAACTACACTACTGTTCTAAAGTTTGGTGTCTGTAAGATTTTTAAATGTTTTTCAAAGAAGTTTCTTTCTCACCAAGGCTATTTATTTTTTGTAAAAATACAGAAATATGGTGAAATATGATTACAATTTAAAATAACTGTTTTCATCATTACTCCAGTCTTCAGTGTCACAAGATCCTTCAGCAGTTATTCTGATATTCTGATTTCCTAACTCTTTGAACAGAAAGTTCAAAGAACATTTTTTATTTGAAACCGAAGTCTTTTATAACATTATAAATGTCTTAACTGTCACTTTTTATCAAATTAATGCACCCTTGCTGAATAAAATATTAACAACTTAAAAAAACAAAAATCTTGTATATTACTGAAGAATAAGATCTGAGTGAAGGGGGAAAAAATCATCAAATGAAAATATAACATCAAGCATTTTCATTCAAATTTTCTTTATTTTGACTTGCCTGCTGCTTCTGCAGATCACAAAAGAAGAGCACACTTTTCAGGACATCATGAAATGCTACCGAACCCAACCTCAGGCCAACAGTCATGTGAGTATCAACAGTCTTAGTCTTTCCAAACCTGTGACTAACTGCTACTGTTTTATATTTATTTTGTGTATGTGCTTAATGTGCAAATGCCATTGATATTGGTTCAAAATGGCTGCTTGCCCTAGCTTCCTAACGTCAGAAACCTTGGAATTTGAGCTGTGATGAGAGCACATATGAGGCTTTGATGCAACGGCATCCACAACATCTTGTTGGTGTGTTTGTAGGTGTACCGTAGTGTTTTACTGAAGAGGCGTCCCAGAGAGCAGCAGACAGATGAGAACATGGAAGTGGATCCACCAGTAGACCAGTGTAAGGATGATGTGGGCAAAGTCCTAAACGTATAATATTACAGTTTTTACTGTGTTTTTGATCAAATTACACCACCTTGGTGAGCATAAGATACTTGTTTCAAAAACATAAGGTTAACAATCCCAAACTTTTAAACGGGTTGTGTATAAACATTGATTTTTGATGAAGTTGGCAAAAGTATCCTGGCTTTTTATTGCATTTAAAAATATTTGTATTTATTTGTTTCTGTTCACAGCCAATGAGAGGACGGAGCAGGCTGACAGAACAGAGACTGAAAGCGAATCAGAGGAAAGAGGAGACCTCATCCAGTTCTACAACTCTGTTTACGTGCTAAAGATGAAATCATTCGCTCTTAAATATGCACATTCCATGCTTGACGGCAAGGTTAGTGTATTGCTTTACTTCATTTGAAAATCGTCTTTTAATAACTGTTGATTTTGATTTTTAGATAATTTGGAAACAAGTGTTTGACTCTTTCTCTCTGTTTCTCTGTAAAGATGGAGGCTCCTCCGTTATCTCCGTTTCCGTCGGTTCGTGCTCAGCCTCTCTCTCCTCGCCGTGTATCTCAGAGACACTCCATCTTTGTTTCTCCTCATAAAAACGGTTCGAGTCTCACCCCCAGTACGGCCTACACGTACAAGTTCACTGGCAGCCCATCAAAGGTTAGTCAGAATTTAGGTTTTCACAACAAGCATTAACGGTAATAATTCCTTTAAAGAGATATTTCATGAAAACATTTAAATTGTAATAATTTACACATCCACATGTCAGACACATCCTAATCTTCTGTGGATCACAAAAGATATTTTGAAAAAAATGTTCATACACAATGAAATAAACGCAATGTAACTGGGTATTATTATAGTCAGTATAACGGATTAGTACATTTTTATTAAAGGGGTCATATGATGATTTTTTAAAGATCATTATTTGGTGTAACAGAATATGTTGACATGCTTTAATGTTAAAAAAACACATTATTTTTCAAATACTGTGCTTTATTGTAGGTCCTCTATGCCCCGCCTCTCTCAAACGCTTCGTTTTCTACAAAGTCCCTCCTTCCGACAAGCGCAGTCTGCTCTGATTGGCCAGCTGACCCAGTGCATTGTGATTGGCCGAACACTGCAAGCACTCGTCGGAAATGTAACGCCCCTTACCATAATCGCCAGCTTCAGCTTTCAAAATAAATGTAAAGACAGAGCCCGAAAGGGGAACAGAGTCACGTGACAGACACAGTGATGAAGCTGGTCTCTCTCTCTCACACACGCACGCGCGCACGCACACACGATGCGCAAAACTCCGCATTTGAACAGTCAATAGCAAATACTTAAACTAATAACAAAACAGTAGCTGATTCAGAAGCACCAGATTGTCATAGCAAAGTCAGAATGACCTCCTCATCTCCTCATCCTCCTCATTCATTTTATGGACGTTCACGAAACGTCCATAAAATGCATTAAAAACCAGTTAATTTATTTTGATGTCTTTATATTTGGAAGCTCCTACTGTGAGTTTTGCCAGTTATGGTTGTTGATCTAAAAGTCTTCTACTTCCTGTTTCTCTTCAGGAGCTGAGCGACATAAACCAGATGATCCGTCAGGGTGGGGTGAGCAAGAAGCGGGCGTTCAACATGGAAGGTGATGAGACCGAGTCTCCATCTAAATGCCTGCGGCAAGAGAATGACGACGTGCTGCTCAAACGCCTGCAGGATGTGGTCAGCGAGAGAGCGAGTCTCTGACCTGTGAGGACGCCCAGTCTCCTTACAGACCCAATATAAAGCCAAAAACTCTTCCTATGTGCTGCTCAATGACTAATGAGATTGAGTACATTAATTATGTCACAGAACAATAGCAAAGCCAAAAACCATCACGTGTTATGACAGATTTTTTTAATACACCAGGATTTCTGAATATCAGGGAGATTGGTATAAACTTAATCAATTTATGCCGAATCAAAGAATCATGTATCATGTTTTTTCATGATGCTCATCATGCTTTCATAAAGACTCGATTCTTACATTACAGAGATATTCTGTAGCTGTAGTTTTCTCAATCAAGAGTCATGTGACCATCGTTTTTGCAGTAGAATCTCCCATATATTAGTGATTTTATTTTTTTATTTTATTGTTTTTATTTTAATCAAGTTATTTACTGGCACAATGTTTGACATTTTGTGTGTCTTTGGTGAACCTGCCAATGGTCAAATCAGTTTTGCGACCATCCTGCAAATCCTTATATTCAGTTGTGTGGTATCTACACCTCTCAATTAATTGTAATATTTCTCTTTAACAGTGTTCTGTTTTCTGAAATGGTCATGTTTATAGTGCATTTTAGATGTTAAATTTGATGGATTGTTCCATCTTGTTTATGTGGTGTACAATAACTTGTTCAACACCGTTTGTTTAACAGTGATGCAGGTATAATTGTATTATTTGGTTTTGCTCATGTATGTTATTTTAGTGACGTTTATCGGTCAAATGCTCAAAGGGGTGGAAGTGAAAAGATCATGCGACCAGTGCTATAGCTAGCTGTATCAGTATTGTCGGTTAATTTGGGATTGGAATTTAGTCTTGTACAAACGTCTTGTATTTTATCCATTTATGTTCTTTTGCCTTCGTCTGTCTCTATCTGATGTCCAACACTGTTGATCTCTTTGCAGTTGGTGCTTTGTATTATAGCTCTGAAATATTTCTTTTGTTTGTTTATACAAACTCCATATTTTAAACTTAGAAATAATCCTCTGCATTGTTTGTTTTTCCACAAAAACCTTTAGCTTTATTGTAAGTGTTGTTTTGACCAATCAGCTGTTGGTCGGTTCTACAGTCAGTGCCTTAGCATGTACATAATAAAATGTTTTATCAATTCTCAAAGAAATGTTTTCTTGCGTCAGAAGACACTGTTTTCAGGCTCACTTCTCCAGCTCTGATTCAAAAATGTCGAATATTTGTGTTCTGGTGGAATCCGATCCAAACATAAACCCAGGCTGGATGAGAAAGTGGGCTGTTGAATGATTTAATTCTGTGCAAGACAATTAGCTTGGGTGGCTCCTGCTTAAATTGGGCTCTAAAGAATAACATTTATGTAGATTTACCTGGATTTAGGATATCCTTCAATTAATTAATGTATTTGTTTATTGACCACTAAAGCTAATCTCAACGCGTTTATTGAATTAATTTGGTCTTAAACTTTCTTACTGAGATATGTCTATTAGTTTGCCATTCAAAATTAATATAGAAACCATAACTGTGTCTGAAATATATCTTTATTTTCCATTAAGTGCATGATGTACCATTCATCATTATACATGGAAAACTAAATTTTTTTAAGATATATCTTTAAAAAAAAAAAATGAAAATACCTAAACACTGGGATTTGTATAATGTACGTGAAATAAATGAACGATTTTTTTTTTTGTATTGCATTGCTAAGAACATAAACCATCAATGCCAGGGGTACATACAATTGAGAGTACAAATGCAAATTACAAAATCAGGAAAATATCGTACAAAATGAACGATTTGTGACATTTCAAGTGTCGGACGCATGACGCCAGCGGGCTGCAAGAGTCTGAGCCAATCACAAAGTTCAGAACGACTGACGCACATACGTCATGAACGTGCAGGCCTACGTGACGCGCGAGTCAGCTGACGCTGTGTGTAAATGAACTCTTTACGTGATTTCCCAAGATTTCCACGCCGCGAAATGTATGAAGAAATGTCAGTAGAAAGAAACTGGACGGACACCGAGACGAGGGCGCTGCTGTACATCCGACAGGACGAAGAAATCAGTAGGCAAATCAGCGGAACGGTTCGCGACTCTCTTATTTACGCGGAAATATCAAAGCTTCTGCGGGCGCAAGGGATCCACAGAACCAAGCGACAGGTCACCACCAAACTGAAAACACTCAAGCAGAAGTTCCTGAAAATACTCGAGCATCACAAAAACAACGGCCACGGCAGAGTGTACTGGAATTATTATGATCTCTGCAAGTCCATTTGGGGCAGCAACCGCCCCGCGGACGCGTTGACGCTTCACAACAACGTGAAACTCGAAGAGCCCCAGAGTACCTCCATCGAGGACACGCGACATGAGAGCAGATCCACAGACATCGAGGTGTCCGTCAGTCACGACGAGGAGACGGAGGACACGGCAGACGGTGTGTTGATGCGCGCTAATGAAGTAGTGTGTCACTGTCAAATGGAACGATAGTGTGCTACTTCATGGTCACGTGATTTGACGAGCGCTAGTTGCTGCGCGCTATGTGCTGCATTTCGCGTAATACAAATGTAGTGTGTGAAACCGTGTGCAGTGATAAACATGTCAAACACTGTAAATACATTGAAGTTAATTTGATCATTGTGTTTGATTTACAACTAATAATAAGTCAAGGGGAGGCTGTTTCAAATACAAAATCAGTATATACTTACTACTGCATACACAGTATACACATAGTGTACATTTTTGTCTTAAAATAGTTTGTAGTACGTAACTAATGTAAACAGTATTTAGTATGCTATCTTTTCGTCATATTACCTCATTTACATGTTTTAAATCCATGAGAAATGTTTACAATTGATCTGTTGGAGTGAATAATTTAAAAGATGCTAATCAGACATCACTGTTTTTGTTTATGCTTTGTGTCTTAAAATGGGACTATTATTGCTCTAACTCAAGGTTTCCTAAACTGGTGTTCGTGAGTTAGTGATTAAATATATCATTAAATAAGTGAAACGCTTCACATTTGAACAAAAGTTTAAATATTTTGTTTATCTGCAGGTCATGTGGGCCATTAAATGTGTTTTGAAATATTGTTGAATTATTGCAATATTTAAAATCACAAGCGGGATTCAGTGAAATATTTGAGGTAAAAGTGATTAGACTGACCAAAAAAAAGTGAACATTTTGTGAATCTGAACGTGAATGATGATGATGCGCATAACTGATTATTATGTGTTCATATATTTAAGTGGTCGCTCAGCCTGTGAGGAAGAAGGCCAAAAAACATTCCGTTACCGACTCTGTGAGAGATCAAGAACCTCTTCACGTGCAGAACCAGAGGGAGTACGAGGAACGCTTGCGAAGGGAAGCCAGAGAGGAACAGAAGGAGGAACGGGCGAGTCTGATGGCCATGTGGAAGGAGATGATGGAGTTTCAAGGGAACCTCTTAAAGGAGTTCATACACCGCCCATCTCTGCCTTCACATCCATCTTACCACAGACATGCTCTTCACAACCAAGCACGCTCTAGTTTTCCAAGCACTAGCTACATGCCACTGTACGACTCGCCAGGGTATGAGCACAGACCTCTGATGACCTGTTTTGTTTCCTAGTTCCACTCTAATCATTAAAGGGGTAGTTCACCAAAAAATGAAAATGACCCCATGATTTACTCACCCTCAAGCCATCCTAGGTGTATATGACATTCTTCTTTCAGACGAATACAATCGGAGTTATATTAAATAATGTCCAGGCTAATCCATGCTTTATAATGGGAGTGGATGGTAGGCCAAAATTTGAAGTCCAAAACAATTGCACCCATCCATTATAAAAGAAGTCCACACGGCTCCGGTGGGTTAATAAAGGCCTTCTGAAGTGACGCGATGTGTTTGTGTAAGAAAAATATCCATATTTACAACTTTATAAACCTTAATCTCTAGTTTCCGCTAGCTGTCGTACGCACATTCACGAGAGAGTGGCATCTAGCGGATGATGTTTTAATTATTATTATTTCTTTTTTAGAAATCGTATTTGCTTTGTCACTGTTGTTAGTTGTTTTTCCCTAAATATCGCAATTTAGCTCCAATTTATTTTTATTTCAAGTTTAGTCCAATTAATTTTTTATTTCCTGTTAGTATTTTTTAGTGCTTTTTACAGTTAGTTGCCATGACAACATGTCTAATTTAATCTAATTAAATTTTTATTTCAGCCTTATTTTTTATTTTAATACTTTGAGTTAATAATAATCTTGAATAAGTCATAGTAACATGAACAACATTGTGAACATTTAGCATTTTTCTGTTTTTGATGTTTTATGGGGAAAAAAAATATTTTGCAGAATGGATTCAAACATAAGATGTGTTAAAGAAAATGGTCATCATTTGCTCATATGAAATACATTTTTGATTTACATTTTTCAAGTACATTACTTCTATTTAATAGTAGCATTCAAGTAAGAAACTGAAAAATCTAATGTAAAAATGAAACCCTGCCTAATCTATTCACTGTGTGAATTAAATATACACTGATTCTTATTAAAGCTACTAAAGTTATTCACTTAAGAGCAGTGAACTAATCCATGCTTTATAATGGGAGTGGATGGGAGGGCAAAATTTGAAGTCCAAAACAATTGCACCCATCCATTATAAAAGAAGTCCACACGGCTCCGGTGGGTTAATAAAGGCCTTCTGAAGTGACGCGATGTGTTTGTGTAAGAAAAATATCCATATTTACAACTTTATAAACCTTAATCTCTAGTTTCCGCTAGCTGTCGTACGCACATTCACGAGAGAGTGGCATCTAGCGGATGATGTTTTAATTATTATTATTTTTTTTTTTAGAAATCGTATTTGCTTTGTCACTGTTGTTAGTTGTTTTTCCCTAAATATCGCAATTTAGCTCCAATTTATTTTTATTTCAAGTTTAGTCCAATTAATTGTTTATTTCCTGTTAGTATTTTTTAGTGCTTTTTACAGTTAGTTGCCATGACAACATGTCTAATTTAATCTAATTAAATTTTTATTTCAGCCTTATTTTTTATTTTAATACTTTGAGTTAATAATAATCTTGAATAAGTCATAGTAACATGAACAACATTGTGAACATTTAGCATTTTTCTGTTTTTGATGTTTTATGGGGAAAAAAAATATTTTGCAGAATGGATTCAAACATAAGATGTGTTAAAGAAAATGGTCATCATTTGCTCATATGAAATACATTTTTGATTTACATTTTTCAAGTACATTACTTCTATTTAATAGTAGCATTCAAGTAAGAAACTGAAAAATCTAATGTAAAAATGAAACCCTGCCTAATCTATTCACTGTGTGAATTAAATATACACTGATTCTTATTAAAGCTACTAAAGTTATTCACTTAAGAGCAGTGAACTATTTGTCTTTTGTTTGATTAACATTAAAAACACAGACAGCAGCAGGTATATTAGGCAGCTGTCACTTTAAGACCTAATGCACAAATCCAGTACATTGATACACATGCGATTTTCTCCCAGCTGTTTACATTCACTTAAGACATAACTGACTTTATGTGAATACCCCCTAAGATGGGTATTTGATCATTCAAGCGCAATAAGTCATGAAAGGGAACTGAATTCAGCCTAAGTGTAATAAACTCCATTTTGCTAATTTAACAACTCTGCCCTTTCACAGAGCTGAAACTGAGAATGAAAGTGCTGACATAATTTTGTGTGTATTTGATCATTCAAGCGCAATAAGTCATGAAAGGGAACTGAATTCAGCCTAAGTGTAATAAATTTGACAAACTCCATTTTGCTAATTTAACAACTCTGCCCTTTCACAGAGCTGAAACTGAGAATGAAAGTGCAATCTCACATGAAGAAGAAGAAGAGGAGGAGGAAGAGAAATACATTATTCCAGCTGAGATTGCACCTGTGTTGGACATTCAGCCTGTTAACCGTGCGAACGACAGCCAATCAAACACAGCAGAGACTTTTTCACCCCCGCCTACACAATCAGCAGGAAAGAGCGATCTGGAGATGTCTGTGCTACGCAGACAGGAACGAGTCTTACAGCTTCAGGAAGAGTACTATTCACTCAAAATCAACTATCTGAAACACAAGATGGCCAAGGATCCATGACAGAATGCTAAAGAGGAGTGTTAACTCTTGCTCTTTC